GCTACGTCACGTAGCAAACTTAGTGCGTGTATTTCAGAGCCTAGTCACCACAAGATTTGCAAACAAAGGTTAAATTGAGCCATGTTTGTTCTCTGAAAAAGGTGCGCCTATTGGCATTAGCCAAAGCAACCTACATTAGTATCGGAATCAGGATCGGAGCAGAGATGAGCGATGCAGTGAGTAGCATTATCTGTCTAGTAGTCAGCGCCGTTTGGTCGACCATACGGGTGTCGAAACAAGCATTTAACGATTCTGTAGGATTACAGTGGACTGGCTAGATAATGTGATCGAAGATGAGCAAGCCAAATATATAAGAAACTTTTGATTAATGTTCTCATGGTGAGAAAATTCTGGAGATCTTTCACCAGCTGTCATTAGCTCAAAATATTTGCAGCGCGCCAACACCCGTGTAGGATGCAGAAAGTAAAATTTTTATTAGGCGAGCCCACCTAAACAGCAATATATTTCAGTGAGACAGGAAAGAATTATAATACGTGAATGAGAGCTTCATCTTGAAACTCATTCGCAGATTAGGTGCGCGTCTGCTGACTACATGTTCTATCCGTCGGACTACTGGAAATTATGACTCCGTTGCAGAACACACCAAATCCCAAAAGTCTCAACTTCCAAAGGTTTTAAACGAGAAGTTCCTGTTGTATCATTTGTATCACTCACCTACCGAAACCGTTGGAACAGGCATACCTGAGCGCCATGTTGGAGCAAGACTGTATAGTCCGGACTGACAACATCCTCTACAAACGCCGCTCACTGCAAGCCAAGCATAAAGTTCTTAGCTAGGCTATCTGGCCGTGGTGTGACATCAGTCTTACAAGTGTTAAGTAACTTGATGTGTGGGGTCCATGGGCCTTCCCCCCAAGGACCTGAGGGCGTAGAACAATGTTTTACAAGGCATCCGATGGCCAGACATAAGCGGCACCTGTTGCGACAGCCTAAAGCTGATAACTCTTATATGCTAATTGAGTGAATCCAACTCAGTAAACCATACTTGCCTGTGGACCGTTTCAACCCATTATAACGTCACCCAAACTGTGGAGACAATGGTGATGATATTTGAGTTGTTTCTGCTGGAGTGGTCAAGCTTAAAAGCCCTAGAGTAGAAATATTCTCACGGATGTCTGCAGCTACGGTTGTTTGAAACCACTGATTTTCATTTATGAAATAATTCGCCACACCTTACTTGCGTCGTGGAAATGTTTTAACTGACTTCATTTGTCACACTACAGACACGGTTCATTTAGCTACCAGGATTATTAAACATATCAGTAAGAGCAAACTCCTCCTTTTGAAGTTGCGAGTTCCTAAAGTACATCCCTGCGTTCTGAAGGTGTAAACTACATGCCAAAACATGAGACACTTTCAAAGCTCTATTTATCACTGTTTATGCAAGCGTATAACCATCAATCAGCAGAACGGTTTCATTCGGTTAATCTACTTCCACGAACCTCCATCCATATCTTTCTGAAGTTGAACAAAATGGAGAAAGCGGATATCACCGATGAATTCCACAACTTACTGGGGAGCTTCTGGGTAGTTCATTGTAACTTGATCGGGAATGTGAGTGTAAATGGCCTGGTGCGTATTAGCGAACGCCTCGGAACTTCGCTATTGACTTGTGTATAAGAGTCCGAGAGTTTGCGTCGCACTTAATCCTCGTGTGCTGAGGATAGAATTAGCAATCAATCTACAGTGCCACCAGGAAATTCAAGTTTGTACTCCTATAATAGAAGCAGCTTCGTACAGTGATTGATTGGTATCGGACAACTGAAACAATTTTCTGCTTCCAGATAACTTTCACAAACCTCATGTGCGACCTATACTTTTGTACGCGTACAGTATAGTTCAATTAAGAAGCTGCCCTAGGTCTGTCAACCTGGCCAAGTGGTGTAGCCTGTAAATTAGCTGAATTCTATGACGAATCTATTAGCCAAACAACACACTGGGTTACATAATGTTTGCCTGCTGTAATCACATACAGCTTTTCGGTTGCACCGACCCCCTTGAACGCACTTTGTAAGCTCAAATAAAACAACAAGTTCCATCACAACCCACCCACCCACCTTTTTATCCCCAATAAAATTCTGCAAGAAGTCGGAGAATTTACTAATCAAAGACTGGTGAAATTTTTTAAAACCGGCTGACGCTAACGAAGAGCTGCTGTACAGGTCTGTATAAAACTGATTTTTATCCGCTATTCCTGTGTTGTGAATTTTGATTATTAGTAAACACAAATCTTGTAAGTAAGTTCTGGGAACGGATGCCAAATTTCATCCACACTCGAAAAGTAAATTAAAATAAGCGTCTATTGAATCTTTTGAGCACACTGACTTTTCTCGAGCAAAAGTTGGGAATCGTGCTTTCACTCATAATAAATCAACCCCTCAGATACGGAAGACTTGTATATTTGAAAAAAATTTAATGCCACTAGCATAATTATGACGCAATAACAGACAAGGAATTGGTTTTTAAACGGAATCTTCAGGAGAAATCCAACTCATCTATAATAACTAGAACGAATTTTTCCGACAAACGAGACTTGGCAAATTATCCCTTAAGGAATTGTAGTTCACACGCGGATTCAATCTATGCCAAAAATCTTGGAAGCTTTGCGCGGCTGTTCCAATCACATCAGGACATCAGGGTTTCCCTGGAGAATTTCCGAAATACGATTATTGCTGAGGAAGTAAATGATATTTATAGGATAGTCGATTTTATGGTTCTTTATGGCTCGTGGCACTTTGTGCTTTTTAATGCAAGGACTAATATGCATCCAAAATTACAACTTCGTTTCCGTAACATAGCAGCACAGCGGATATGCGCATACGGTTGTCGGGATCAAAAAACGCCTGGCGTGCGTTCGTTTGATCAAACTCATAAAACAGACACAACTTAACTTATAGACCCTCTCCTTAACTTTCATTCAAAGAACAAGTGTAGGACAGCATGCAAATGCACAACACAGGAAGACTGAAAAATATCTTATTTTCTCCTAGAGATAACTAAATTCGCGTACAAGAAAACAGCTAAGTTTGGTTCCACATAAAATTCCTTGCTTATAGCTGCGGGAAGAGGAAATCATCAATGGCTTTGCGCAGGCAGACTATATTTTTTAAAGTTAAGCGTTCAAACTCTAAGGGTGCTTTAGAATTAACTGAGTTGACTATTTCCCATAGGCTAGTTGCTGTCGTATTTTGATCAAGGTAACCATTACATCCTATCGGTTTTCCTTCTAAATTCCTACTTCTGAGCTACGTGGAACAATCTTACATTTATAGCAATAAAAGTTGTGACACCAGAGTGCAAAATTCGCTGGTGCCGACAATGTTTTTCCGGAAGAACAGTGGCGCACCTTTCCCGGCAAAGTACCCTGTATCTGGAACAATAGCTAGTACTCCTTTAAGTTGATTATTTTTTCACTTTCCGCAATGCATTAGTGGTAAACAGCTCTAGATGATTAAGCATGGTATTCTGAAAGACACAGTAACTTTTGCTTTTGAATGGAACGGTGGGTAAGGATAGCCCAGTTTTCTACCGGTTTTGTCCCTTCTGAGATTCTTGGGTCGGTGAGTTCCTCTGAAGTTGAGACAACAAAATTTTTGACTTAAAGTGCAACCTGGTCGATGTACAATGTGTCATTCATCACAAGAGTCTCCATTATGTCTTCAGCCCAAGCAATTTCCTCATTCCCATGAGTTTCAAAATCCAAATAGCAACCAGTTTTTTTCAGATACACAGTTTGCCCAACCAAGTAAACAATCACGCAGCCAAACAATCATAGCTGCTGTATTGTCAATACATGTGTGGATTTTATAGGTAGAAAGTGAACCTACCCATACATAAGGCAAAACATATGCATAAAACCGTGATCGCCCCAGGAAAATGATAGCAACTCTACTGCCGAACGAATTTAAGATTAGCAGAAAGAATGATTTGGACAACCCTACAGTGACGGATATTTCGTGTATAGGGACTGGGTTATTTTGTCGGAAATAAAAATATTTGAGCTGGGTAGAATACTGATGTTAGAACTATCAGATCATCTGTAGAATGGAGAACTCAGATGTTTTGATAGCGAATCTTGGAATATATACCTGCTACTGCAATGTGCAGGGTGAATTCCCAACTGAAATCAAGTTCTCCAACCAATTTGACGGTTACATATGAACAGCGTGTCTCTATTTTGAGTGCGGCTGACAGCTGAGCGCGTGCGGTTCTCAGCTCATGGTGCGGTTAGGTTTCAATCACGATGGCATCCAAGAACAAATTAATAGGATGCATCAGATTTTATATATGAAAAAGAGGTAGAGTGAAGATTCACAGTGGGACTCATATTCTGATGGGCAAGGAAACAATGACTTCACCTCGTCGATAGGTCTAGAAAAATAACTCTGAAAGCAACCTCGAACTGCTTCATTAGCACGCTTTCAAAAAGAGCACTCCATGTACAAGGTTGATCTGGAGGGCCACGCCCTCCCCCATCCTTTCTTTAGCGTGCAATTCAAGGTTGCACTTTGGTTGCCAGTCTTGAACGTGAGGGCTATCATGTTCCTAGTCCAAGACCCCAGCTCAAAAACCTGGCAATGGGGCACCACTGTTTGGCGGTGAATGGAGATTGATTGCCATTTATAAAGAAAAAGTCGCCACACATTTTCCAACCCTCAAAATCGAGGGTCGGCCGGCAGCATGTGTTGGTCAGAATTCTAAACATTAGCCAACCTGTTATGGTTGAACGGACACCATGCTGTATAACTCACTGGTCCACGGATGCACACAAACACTCACAACACGGTGTTCGTGATGAATTAAAATACTTCAAATTAGCATCAGCATCGTTTCACATAACCGGATTGTTTAAGATCAATTTATTCTCAGCAAAATATGCCAAGACGCAAGTGGAAGCAAGTTATGTGATCAAAATGAACAAATTGTTACCTGACTTAAAATCCAGGAAGAACGATAGATTTCATCGTTTTGTTGTTCGGATGTATAAGCTGTTTCTGTTACGTTCCCAGAACCTTCTCAGGTGTTGAATGTCTAAGACACCATTGCGGCTGGAACAAAACTCACTTAAGAAGCAGTTACAATTCCTTTCAGGGCAAAATCCTTGAAGCGCATTTTAAGATTTTTCCTTAAGAAGTACTGCAACGGTTGTTTCCATTTTTGGGAAGCTTCAATATGGAAACGTGCTATATGGGACCAAAAATGTGTGCTTTGAGGTGGGATGCGGCCTCCTTATTCTGCCTTTCGGAAAAGACCACCTCTGATCGCCTCTAGGCCGGAATATTTTGAAAAAAATATAGAAATCTTTAAAATGACAGTAATAAGTGGCCTAATTTGAAGCAGCTTGACAGGCTTTGAGGTATCTATGCTGGATAGAACAGCTATAACGAAGTTAAAAGCTTGTTTTGTGAAACGCTGACAAGTAACCTGGCAGGTTTAAGACTTGGCGAGTTCTCACGTGGGCAGAGAATAATTATGTCACTTGCATTGTGATTCGTGCCTATGTGTGCCACATGCGGTGACGTTAGCTGATTATTCAAAATGGGCTACATCTGACTGTCTGTTTGGACTGGCCAATTTACGTGGTCTCCTGAGACCGGTCGACAGGAGTAATGTTGCAGAAAATAAATCAAATACAGCTAAAGGAGACTTACGACACCACGATGAATCGGGTAAAAAGTTGGTACCGGAATGTGAGCACCTAATATATAACTTTTATATCATAAACTTTGTTGGCACATAAGTTTGTCTGCCACATGTCCCGGGTAGTTCTTGTTAGGGTTCACACTATTTAATAAGAAATTAAATGCGTAGGGAACGAAGCTTTTGAGAGAAAATATTCATTTGTGTGCTCGCATGAACGTACTAGATTCACATAAAAACGTCAGAATCCAGGTGACATTCATCCAGAAAACATGTATAGCAATCGGTGAGTGACCAAAACCAGGGCCCACTTCAGACAATACTAACGTACCTTCACGAATGCAAGTATCATTTAACAAACAGTACTCCGAGAAACTTGCGTTGGCTACAACTCGTGGTCAATTCAAACAGTGCTCACAGGTCAACCTCGTGTTATGTTGCTTTGACCTTAGTTTGTCCTATGTTTGTGGCGCGCGGCAACCTGAAACGTCAGTAAACAAGAATTGAGGCTGTTAGACGACTTGTACCCCACTGCGATAAAAATGTCCCAAAATAATCTTGAAGTTGTCGCGGTTTGTTCGACAGTATGCCGAAAGCGATATTTTTGAATCCGCCGTGGTGGTTGCAAGGATATTTTAATTAATAAGCATATTTTTCATTTTGCACACCTTAATCGTATCTAGAACATATAGTGCAGTAATTTCCTACAACGAAAAAGTATGCCAGCTTGATCTTATTGGTAGCCAAACTTTTGGGAACATGAACAAAGGGAATATTGTATATGATGGTTGAGATTTTCAACTTCGGGGACTTCAAATTCGTTAGGGAACGGTTTGGTAGGGAAAATGAAGTATTGACAACACTGATACTATATTCCATGTTATGGAATTCTCTGTTCTAAAATTTAATCCAGTGTACAGGAGGATAGGGATAAATATTCTAGAAGGTGTGCTCCTGAAGATGATCAAAAGGCTGATTTAAACCCCTTTTTGAAAGTAGTTTGTCACCAGGCACCAACTGAAATATTCCTGTAGTTTTTTACTAATTAATATTTGATGACCCTAGCCCCATCGTCTCCTGGACTTTGGGTGACGAATGAAAAAAGTGATCAATTAAAATCCAGAATCCAGTTATTCCGACCGGCTTTCGCCTTAGGCCAAGTTGGCGTTGGTAGCGCATTAGTAAAGCGTTTGTTTAGGTCAATAGTAGCCACTCGATGTTGAATATTTCACTAGCTAAAAATGGAAAGAAAATGCTATCGTTTGCGGTGATGTTAATGTCTATCATCTCGGATTCTGGTTTACATATGACTTCAGATACGTGACCTCCGGAATCGATGCTAATTTACGATATATGAAACCAGTTACATGACTATTTACTAGGGTGTTCATTTTGTAAAAAAATCTCATCGAATTACATATAATCTCCATAGCTGGCACATGAACTTTTCTCACTCAAAATTTATGTGCAATATTTTCACAGTAAATTTGAGTAAGACTAGATCTCTGGATGCTTTTCGGTTAACCAAATGCGATGTGCAAATAAAACTAGTGAGCATTATTTATCGCTAAAATCAACAAGGCTACTGGCATCATCCTTGAGAAGAGTTGAACCAAAATCCTTACAATAGTGTGCTGTAACTGGACTGTGTCGAACCACACACTGTCACTGTAATGGTGAGATATGATCTGGTCTGCCAGACACGACTGACAACTTTGAAATTTAACCTCAACCAACCAAAAGCCTCTTGAAATATTACACACGTGCAAAACGTTTGGGATCAAAGACCGTCGGCAGAACTGGCTTGTAAGATCACGCCACTCAATCGAGGCCACTAAATCGAATGCGAACTATATACTATTACGGGCCAGCGGTAGCGCATGAGCTGAGTGTACAACAACACAACAAAATAAAGGACAACAAGACGTAGATGAATAAGCACGAGATTATGCCATTTGAAGCGATAATTTTTCTTCAATAATGCATTATGTAAATATAGTGCAAGGCGGAATGAGACAGTGAATGGCGTCCGATAACTGGAAACATTGCAAGTTGAAATGAGGATTTTAGTCGTTTCAAATCAGAAGTTAACCTGCTACTCAAGAGGCGAGAAACTACAATTCATCGTAGAAGAGGTAAAGTAATCAAGTGTAGTGATGGTATTTTTGCTCCAAGAAGATGCTTTATGCGCATGGTCCTCAGTAAAAGCGGACATTTTATGCTCATTCCTGATTTTGAACCGAAATATCGCCATGAATATGGGTATACCCAAGCACATAGTGAATAAAAGCCAGTACGGGGGAAAATTGCATTAATTATTCAGGGCTCTATGTGAACGCAAGTATTTTGAATTTTTTTAGCAGCGACTTATTATTATGGAACCTGTACATTCAGAGTGTTACCAGAAACCATCATTTGTCTCTAGATACCCTATCACGGAATACATAATCTTCAATGACGAAGGAAATACTTCTGGGTACTAAATGACAGGCTTCCGCCTCCACATTAAGTAACGTAAATAGTGTTTTTAGTGTTTTCCTTTTTCTACTACCGGCAACCACATTGAAAATATCTAAACGGTGAAAATACACAGATACCACAAGAGTAGTCCATGTTCTGGGACTGTAGGGGGTGAAATTCCCGGCGTCCTTATTCAAGACACTAGTCATCAAAGCGACTAAATGATGTAAAAATGAAGCTATTCAACAAACCATTAAAGTGTTATATTGATCGGGCCACTGTATGGTGTTTCTGAGTGATGAAACTAGTGTTGGTTAACAATATTCATAGTTCTACGGGCCATTAGAAGAAGCAGCACGTTCGATACTCCTGTGATGTAAGTCGTGATCATAGTGTCAACTAATTTTCGTCATCTTGATTTGTGGCTACAGAAATTGCTGGAGAGAAGAAACAAAGTTTGACTTTCCCCCAGGATTTGGCCCATAAATAACAGCACAATGTACAGCAAAGTGCGAGAGCGTAATCCCTAATGGGTGGAATAAAGCGGACATAAAATACAGCTAAGGAGAATAGCGTTAGAGTCAAGTGACTTGATTGCCCACCGATAGTGACACTGAGGGAAATATTCGTTTGCAACCATCAGACACTAAAGAAATTTCACAGAACACGAAGATCAATTTACAATACCGGACAACTTGCACAAGTGATGCGGTGGGCTACACATCCCAAGTTCATTATCACTCACGTCTGAATATTTGGAATGCAGCGTTGATTTTTCACTCGCACAGTAACACTTTAGCGAGGTCTCCCAAACCAATCATTTGGCCGTTGGTTATTGAGCCGACAGAATTAGTCTGCCAACAATAGTAAACCAGTGATAAAC